TGAGTGACTCACACACAGAGACATCCAGACGTGGGATCAGCTTCTCCCACCCAGTGATGAACCCTGGGCTGCCTTCATCCCCAGGAAGAGAAGCTTATCTGCTGGTTTTATAGGTGGAGATGTATTTTAGTGTAAAATAATACAATTGAAAAATTAAGGAAATGTCTTTGTTGTATGTCAGGGTGAACTTGTGTGTAAAAAGAAGGAATAAATCTCTGAAAATATTCCTGACTTTAGTTTCTGACGCCCTTAACATTTTTGACTAATGCCTCCGCGGCCTTTGTTGAGTTCCAACCAGAGGGGCACACATTTAACTATTCATGTGGAAACTTAGATCGGGAAGGGAAGGGATTTAGCCCTTGTTCCCAGTACGATAAAAATGCAACATGGAGAATTCTTTTGAAAATGACAAGATACAGTCCTATTTTTAATCCAGCACTGCAGGGCAAATTTAACAATTACTTCCAAATCTGCATAATGAATGAGGAACGAGTATGTATTTTAAGCCTTTATTCCCGACTAAGTGTGTCAATGCATGGGAGATGGAAAGAAAACATGTGGGAAATATTCAGAATATTTGAGGTAATTTTGATTTTTTTTTTGTCAAATAAACTGCTGATTTTAGATTTTGTACATTCAAAATCTTGTAATAATAATAATATTAATAATAATATGTAATGTTATTTCTTTGTAATTTGGCCCTTCTCCCATGTTTAAATGCAAATGAGATGTTAATTTTTCTTAATGATTTGCTGTACCTGAGGCATGGAAAAGCTCAGAAACTCAACTGTCTGACTGCGTTTGTGCTCAGGGTATGAAAAGTAATTTAACAAAGTGTTTTCTAATCAAAGTAATGTAACCTGATCTCCATTGCATTTGGATCTTTAATACAATACAGCATCACTGGAACCACTCAGTACACGTGTCTGTGTGTGTGGTGTAGTGTGTGGGTGAGCGTGTGCGTGCGTGCGTGCGTGTGCGTGTGTGTGTGTGTGACAATGACGGGACAGACCATCAGCTGAACAGTCGACCTGCCAACATGCAGATATTATAAGAGTTGTAAGAGAAAATGCAGCTCAAAGTCTTTCCTGTGTAATTTATCTTCTGAAATACGAGCCTGACTGCTGTAAACTTCCGCATTGACTTTTACGTCTATATTCTTCATTTTTGAGGATTCCCCATCAGAGACAGTAAACGGTTAAATTGGCTGCATTTAACTGACACATTTATTACCAGTGTAAATAAAGGTGGCAGTAAATTGACAATCGAACAATAGAAACATAAATGCGACTTTTTTTTGCATTAGCCTATAGTGTGAAATTTCAACCTTTGAAATTGATTAGAGATTTCTAAACGTAGAAACAATAACAACCGTTTAAAATTAATGGGTTTACTCACCAGCACATCCCTGAACTCAAGGAAGACGACTGAAATTAAATAAATCATGTATTACTGATGTGTGAGACACTGGTCAATCTCAAGCCTGTCACGTGAACCAAGTTGAAGTTGAAAACGTAAATGTTGGCTTACGTGTCTGAGAAGATACATGTGTTATTCTATTTATCAGAATTGTTTTGTTCTGTAGGTAGAGAGATTGAGACTAATTAACGAATTATTGCAAAACTGGTTATTAATTATAATCCAATTATAAAATCTGAATTTGTAGGCTACCAAGGCTAAAACAGGGAAATTACAGGGACATTATATCACATACAGCTATCCAAAAATACAGAAAACAATAAGAATCTCGTTCTCTTAAGAAATTCGTTAATAGATGCTGAAGAGGACCAGTGTGTGTGTTTTAATCAATAGCCCACTTTCAAAGGTTAAATACTAAGTGTATAACTCGTTATAAAATATACATGTTGGTTAAAATCTATTGCAAACGCAAGTAACACTAAAATAACTGATTATGTTACAATAAGTGTTTTTATTTTTTATTTTAGCATGTTCCTACACAGGACACATACACAAATAAAATAAATAGAAAATAAACATAGATCACATTGTAATTTCACATTTAAACGAGGGGATCCATGGAAAACAGTTGTAATGATCCAATTAATTATGGGCAAAATTAAAAGCAAGTGCAAAATCAATCTTTCACGGTGTCGAGGATGGAATCAAATTGATGCTCCATCTGTTCACGCCAGCAGAGATTTGTAGCCCGGGAGTGTTTGTGGCTGCTCGCTGCTGGAGCACAGGGACACAGTGAGCAAATCCAATATACAGTGTCAGGAGATATGTGTGTTAGTGTTACAGGATTATGGGCTGCAGCTTCGGAAATCTCCTCCTGTATCATCAAATATAAAAACCTAAACAAATATCACAATTACCACTCATTTGCATGCATTAAAAGAGCAAATTGCTGCCATTTAAATAGCATGAAAAATACTGTTTTATGATTTATTTAAGCATGCAAAACTCATACATGGTTTACATTATTTTTAAGATTTTATAAATAGTCCAAAATCAGCATAAATGTCGCCACAGATTCCTCCGGAAGCCTCTCTTCTTCAATCGAAAAGGATTCATATTCAACTTACAACCAGAGGTGTCAGCTCCCCTTTGCAGGTATCGATTGGTGACGTGTTGGAATAACGCGAGACAACCAGCAGTCTACACGGGAGGTGGAGAGGAGAGAAAGAAAAAAACAATAAATGACACTTCTCCCAACAGTTCTTTACCACGGAGCCTCCATCATCCTCCCCACAGTTTCCTGAAGAGTGTGAGCTGATGTTCGGCGGGTGGAGCTGCATGCTGGACCCTCGGTGGTGCTATCCCCCCTCCTCCCCCTGCATGCCACCTCTCCTCTCTCCTCTCTGCACAGGCCATTAGGAAGCGGGGCAAAAGATAAATTGCTCTCTGTCAATACATTACACCTCTCCTAATGGGAGCACCCGGGCTCCAAAAACATTTTCCAAACTCTTGACATGCAGTGGCAACGTCTTAAATACTGCAGTTGCGCGTCAGGGTGGAAATGAGTGCGTATACTTGTACATGCAAATTATTTTAAATTTGTCTGAAAATTCAATAAATGCATGTTGTTTTCTGTCTTCAGTGGTCGGGTGTTTTGAAGTATTTATATATAAATTAAAAAGGTGCTTTTCTGCACAAAAAAAAGTGATAATTGATTCAGCCTTTGTATTGTTTAAATTGCTTTTTGGGAGCTCTTTGACCCGGTGTTGTAGCATCTGAATGGATGGGCCCCCTTCCTAAAAAGACAGGGGTTAGGGCCCGTCTGACCACATAGTCAAATAAGCCACACCACACGTGCTGTTCAAACAAAAACTAAACAAAGTAATCATGTCAACACGTCGTTTGATATGTGTTTTAAAAAACAATATCAGCATTTTCTTTTACAACCTCCTCCCCCTTCCTTGCTTCTGCTTAATTGTTGCATTGGGGAGATCAAATTGTGGGGAGCAGGAGGGTAAACTGAGGGAGGGGATGATGGTGGTGGGGGTCTTAGGGGGGAGAGGGAAAAAAGAATGTAGCTTTAAGGGAAATGTGCAGCCGGGTGTGAAATTACAGCCTATAGTGCTACATATTGTACCAGAAGCTCACTCCAAAAACTGTAACAAAAAGAGAAATCATCCCCTAACCTGACCAGGAGGCAGAGCTGTGGCCGTCTGCCCCTAAGATATGCCCCCCCCCCCCCCATCCTAAACAATATGGTCAAAATGTGTCTCCTGAAATGATGTATTTTACTTGGAGAAATATGATTATGATGATATGATTTTATTTTATTTGTGATATTGTCACTTCAGAATAGCGAACAAATTAATTGAATATTTGTTATATTATTTAATTTGTTAATAGTAAAAAATATATATATTATTTTATTCGAGTTGCGTTTACTGCTGCCTTATTTGTTTCCCCCTGTGAAAAAACTGACTGAGACTGTAAGTGCTTCGAAAATGAAGTTAGTGATATAGGCTATATCTGTTGTACTTGATCTAAAGGATCAGATAATAATATGATAAATACAAAAATAAAAATTGATATATTTTGGATTCATTATGTTGTAAATGATTATATTAATTAATCCAAAACGAAGCATCCTGACTCCACCATGACTCCATAAGGCATTGCTTAGTTAACCTGTACTGCAGGTTCAGACAAAGTCATATCTATCGTTTTCAACACATTCCATGGATCTATAGTTCATTGATAAATGTTCCAGGAGAACATTTGTGACCTGTCAGTTTGATCACAAGCACTCATGTGCACCCCAAGTTTGACTTTTTTGGACTACTTTGATATCGCCTTTACATTTTGAGAAACCACACAGCGCCATCTACAGAAGCTCAGCGGCACTGCGGCAGGTTCACCTCCAACCTCCACCTCTGCTCCCATGGACCACTGCAGTCATCACACCATCAGCGACACGGAAACAGGTTTATAGTCTACATTTGAAGACATTAACCAATGGCTTAACAATAAATATATCGAATTGAAGCAGTAAATAATTATATAAACACATTATTTAGGCCTACTTGAGTTCCAGAGCAGACATGAAGACTGAGGAGGAAAAACAAAACGAAATAAAAGTAAACAATTCAAAACAGGATCAAGCTAAATCCGGGTTGTGGGGACACTTACAGAGATAATGTGTATTCCCATGCAGAGACATGCTGTTAGTCCGTGTAATAAAAAGAAAAAAAGAAACACAAATGTAAAAAATAATCTATTTCATTGATTCAAAACTTCCAGTAAACGAGCATATATTTCACAGCTGTTATGTCTAATAAAGTCTGATATTTCTAACTCACAATCCATTCCTTATTTATCTCCCTCCCCTTCCTGCCGGTGTGTCAGACCCACAGACCTCCTCATTTGGACCCCAGGTTTTTTTCTCTTTTTTTTTTTTTAACGTTGGCGAATCACAAAGTGTTGGCATCTATTGCCTTTGTCTGACAAGTCATCCATATAAGCAAAAGGGGGGTCTGCAGAGGGGAGGAGAGGGGGAAGAGGAGGGGAGGGTTGCAGCTTTTAGAACCACAGACACAGAGAGAGGCTTCATTCCCAGCCCAAAGATCCAGCCCTACGCATCCTGCGCTCAACACAAACCCGCTGTGTGTCAGTGTGTGTGTGTGTGTGCGCGTTTTCTCCGCCGTTTTCACGCGTGAATCAAGGCCACGAGGATTGAGGACATACCGGGCCCTGGACATCACCGTTTAATTTAAAAACAAACTGTGAGAATTACCTCTACTGCTCACTGAAGGCTTCTGAAGAAGAACAAATAGCGATAAACTAAAACACAGTCCTTCGGTCATGCAGCGCACCTGCCAGACCTCCGCGGCCGGACCGGACTGTTGAAGAAACACCGGGCAACTTTTGGGGGAAGAAGTTGCCGTCAGATCGGTTGTTGAAGCGAGGGGGTGGAGGGGGCAAACTAAGTCCCTCCATCGAGTAGAAGCACCTTTTTTTCTTCACATATTCATCCTTGATAGGAAGGCGAAACGGCGACTTCAGTTGATTATCTGTCTTTCCTTGGCTATCCAATGGATATTCACTGCAAAGCAGATCCCTTCACCGCGATGCACTGTAAGTAGCACAACCCGAGTTTTTCCGCAGCTTCATAATAATAGGAATATAATATTTCCGCATATTACAAAGGCCTGCAGCAGAGAGCATGTGCAGTGTTGTGTGCCAATAGCATTTTTGGCGCATTAAAACTGGCTAATAAACTGGCATGTAGTAGGCAAACACGAGGATGACAAGAGGAGAAAAGAGTCCCTCTAATATCTTCTGTGTGCACATTTCAGAGAATATTCTGCTTAAAAAGATAATAACATGTTAAAAATAATATAGATGACATTACTTCCGGACACACAGCAGAGGTGTGCAGAAATTAAAACTTGTCATAGTAAACAAAGAACATGCGCTGGCAGGTACTCAGTAATTTACACGTGTATCTGCCTGCAGCTTCCCGCGCAGTGTGTGTGTGTGTGTGTGTGTGTGTGTGTGTGTGTGTGTGTGTGTGTGTGTGTGTGTGTGTGTGTGTGTGTGTGTGTGTATGTGTGTGTGTGTGTGTGTGTTCAGGCCTAATAAGTGAGACAGTTACACATCTATTATTCAAATTATTCAAATAACAGCAAGGTGTTCGAGTCCAACCTAAGCTCACATGCTTGTAATTTGGTGAATGTATGTAAATAATGGATGAGCTCTTCGTTTACTAAATAATATGTAATATGAGTTATCAAAGCTCGTTCAATTATTTAAAATTGCCGTGAAAGGAAAATGAGAGAGCATGTAACTTAATAGGCATAACATGAGCCGTGGAGCTGCGAGGAAAATATGAGGTCCTTGTTTTGAATGGGAGAAACTTTACTGCACACTCGAATTTCTATTTATTAATTATTATTGGGAATTTAAATAGCAGTTTTAACACTGACCCACATACTTATGGGTTGGACGTATTGTAGTAATTGTACAAGCTGCACAACAACAGTGTGACAGATGGAAAATAATGTGCAGCATGGGTTAGTGTCCAGCACTTGAATTTACACAATTGTTTATTACAAAAAACATTAATGAAAATACATGATTGTAGGATAATTTGTCTTGATTTGAAAAGTTAAAGATACATAGTTTTGATCATAAGTGGAGGGAAACATATCAATATGCAAGGACAAAAACAATAAATATTGTCTGCTGCAGTGTCCATTTTTGTTTTAAAAAAAGAAATACAAAAATATATAGCATGTACATTCATTATAGACACTTGCAGTGTGGTCATCATGTATTTTTTGATCTCTAAATCATTGAAATCCTGTTTCATCTATTTCGAATTACTGACGAAATAGTATTATTTGTTCTGCATGAAAGGTTTAAGAAAGAAAGAAAACCACTTTCTGATTCCAAAATATGTATGTATTTTTTGTATAAACGCATCATTTTCAAACAGGAATATGTATGTGCAGTATTTCATGCACCCTTAAGGCTTCTCCATAAATAGCCTGCATGTAAAATCTCCTGCTCCATAGAAACACATGAGGTAAACTGACCTTAAAAAAATGTTGGACGCTATTTCCCGGAATTTTTGTCTTGACTAACATTACAAAAAAACCTCACCTGTGCCTTCCTCTCCATTACAACTTTATGTAATGTCATGGTTGTGTCTTTGCGGCTGTTGTATCCCACGTAGGGCACGGGGGGGTAAACCAGCTCGGCGGGGTGTTTGTGAACGGCAGACCCCTCCCGGACGTGGTGCGGCAGCGGATCGTGGAGCTGGCCCACCAGGGAGTTCGGCCCTGCGACATCTCCAGACAGCTGCGGGTCAGCCACGGCTGCGTCAGCAAGATCCTGGGCAGGTGGGTGAACACTCTCCGGACAAGCCCTGCAGCCAGGTACACTCTGCGGGGTGCGAGGTGGTGGATGATATGTGCACGATGTTCAGTGGTGGAGGTGGAGGAGAGCTCAACCTGCACAACTCAGAAGCGTTTCTAATTCTGAAATAGGGTTAATTAGATATAACTGGCCCTAAATTATTATATTAACGCTATTTGTGAAGGTCAGAGAGTTCAGGTGGGCTTCTCCTCCATTTTATTATAAGTGTTTGTTGGAATTATTCAATTTGTATTTACAGAATGACATCCTCGCCGTGTATTTGTGCATGCGTTATGTTTTGCATTTTTAAGAAAAAAAAGCGTTTTATTTGAGACATCATGGGGAAACGAAAACGCATTTTCAAGTTTGATGTTTTGCTGGAGAAAGTTTGAAAATAAGTAGTTCTCAGTAAAACTCAACAGCATGTGCGTGTCATTGTGTTTAAAGTGGTATAAAACGCCTATCTCATCGGTATGATCACATCAGAAAAATTGCAAGCTATCTCAATGGAACATATTTGTTATGACTGCAGGTATTACGAGACTGGCAGCATCAAACCCGGTGTGATTGGTGGGTCTAAACCTAAAGTGGCCACTCCAAAAGTGGTGGACAAAATTGCAGACTACAAGAGACAAAACCCCACCATGTTTGCTTGGGAGATCAGAGACAGACTGCTGGCGGAGGGCGTCTGCGACAACGACACAGTGCCCAGCGTCTCATCCATTAACAGGTAGGACAACAAATCTAATATAAAGGGGGGGAAATGCAGAAAAGAGAAAAATCAGATTTTTTTAAATGTTATTTTGTTTGGGTTAAATTCCGAGGTGCAGTGCAACCCTTTAATAGGTTATTTATCAGATATGCTGAGCGCACCACCGACAGCAGAATATTGTTGGACTAACTTTGTGCTGGCCGCTGCGCCGAGGCTCTGCGGTCTCAGAGGTGCAATTCAATCTTTCAGTCCAAACTCCCTCAACAATCAGCAGTACATCCAGGACTGAGTGAATCTGTCGAGATGAAAACCGATCAATATTCGGTGACCAGATCCCGTGGCGCTATAAAGCAGGCCAATTTTCTTTAGCACATCTAATGTGCTGCTGCACACAGAAAGGCAGAGCAACATGGCTCTTCTGCTGCAGGGTTTTATTTTTGAAGAATTAAAAAGGGTAAACATTATAGGCTGCAATTTGTAAAAATCATGCATCTTGATTAAATACGTAAATATGTTGTAGGCTTGTAGCAATAATAGAAAAAGCAATTAAATCATTTATAAATTAGTCTCCTGATTTAAATCCTTGCATTAAAATTCCAGGTTGCTGTAATTAATATTGATGTTACATTATGAGGATGCTTAAAATCGAGCATCAATTGTGTCTGGGCTGTAAAACGCTTAAATGACTAATAACTATATTTAAGTCATTATTTATGCTACAAATCTACAATGTTGTTAACGAAATTCCTAAAGCAGCACTCTAGTTATAGAGTGGCAGACATATGAGGACCCAGGACACCCCCACCCTCACCCCCCCAGCAGAGATCCCTGGTGATGAACTTTGGTTAAGAGGCACTGTTCCATAGAGCTAGCATCAGCATTACATTTTAATGAGCTGATGGGAGAGCATGGACAGCTCCACACAAGACATCTTTTAAATAGAGAAAAGGCTGAAGAAAATTCATTTCATGCTTCGTGGCTGCTTAAAAAGCCCCATTTAAGAGGGCTCAGACACATGTATGTGATCAATTCAAAATGTACATTAATATCATTAAAAGAGCCCTATAAGTTATTTTTTTCAATTCCAATTAAAGCTTTCTATTTTGGATGTGTGGGGTGGGGGTGGGGGGGCTTATGTGTCTTTGTTTATGTGGGAAATTAAATTGTGAATACAAAGAACTGTAATTCTATCAGCCAAATATGAGAGCTACTTTGAATTTCTATTACGGCTTAATGCTGAATATCTTCTGAAGATTTCAATGTGTTGCTCTGTGCCTCACACACACAATGGACCACACACACACACACACACACACACAACACACACCACACACACACACACACACACACACACACACACACACACACACACACACACACACACACACACACACACACACACACACACACACACACACACACACACACACACACACACACACACACACACACACACACACACACGCGTTTTGATTTAGCCTGAGGTTAATATTTCAATAGTTTCAATTCATTTCTAAAGGAGCAGTCTGCAAAAAAAATGATCAATGAAAACATCCTTTCTATCACTATAGCAGACTACTCAAGATCATTTCTAATGCTACTACATGTTTAAAAAATACAAAATAAAAAAGATAAGTGGCTTAAAATATATAACATGATCGTTTTTCATACAGGAGTTTCCCTTGTTTTCCAGTTGGATGAATATGGGCCAGTGTGTTTGTGTCACAGATAGTCTGACCTCAGGACTGTTGACAAAAGAGGATGCTCTATTTAAACACCTTTCGCCTGCATGCATTATTAAATGGGACAGAGATAGTGTTGTACTACGAGTCAAGGCCACCACAACCAACAAGTAACGCTACCCTGTTGGTAGCAATGAAAAAAAAAAGTCCTCAATGGCGCTCGATAGTATTGATTCAGAAGGAAAGCAATTTTAATATTTCTTCAGGGGATTTTCAGCAACAACCGGGTCATTAATTCATTCTCCCAAATTGCTTATTCAATATCAAGAACATGGATACCAAATAAAGTCTTTGAATTTATGTAGCACACACAGAAGTCAAGGGGTCGAATAACTGTTATGGGCAGAAGTGAAAAAAATTAAAACGTCAATATGCGCTCTCTGGAATTGCTTGTTGTTAGGTAGCTTTGCCTCGAAGGGGATTTTCTTTCTTTTTTTATTTGTGACAGTGCTGGATTTATTCCTCTGAAGCCTGCTGGCCCCTACAGTAACATCAATATCCAAATCATCTGATACATTTCTGTATGTGGAGAAAATACAAGTTATATGGCATTTTGAAATGTTAGCATTGGAGCGGATGATTATTTTCCTTCTGAAATAAAAACATGCAGAGGTACCACATGTGAATTGTACAAAGAAATCAAGTACAAAAGGCTCCACAGTCCTCGCCCAACCTCTTTGTGCTCTAAAATAGCTCTCGTGGCATACATGATGAATAGTTTTAAAGTTTACAAATTATTGTGACAGCTCCCTTTCTCCCCAAGTGCCATTCAGATTAAAGGAATCTAATGCTGGCGTAAGCTTGTGCGAGGCAATAAGGAACTATTGCTTTCCTGTCACATGTAATTTATAGCTTTCTATTTGCATCTGTTTGCCCGTGTGACTAATCCCCAACTTTTTCTCCCCAAGCCCCGATCAATACAACCTCATCCGCATTGGCACATGGGGGCCGCTGGTTCTACAGAGATGTTTGATCTGGGAAGCAAAGGGCTACTCTGGGAATGCATCGGTCCCAGAGAAACACCCCCCCCCCCCCTACAGTGGGGGAGAGGGGGAGATCTGATTAGTGTGGGCCAGGTAGAGGCAGTGAAGCTGATCATAGAGGTGAATTGATGTGATTTCATGCTTTGTTTGCAAAATCACTCAGACCAAAAGTGCAATGAAGACTTTTCTCCACACCACACCTTTAAGGTAGAACCAGTGATCCCTTTTGCGTTACATTTAATAACTTAATCACACCGTATCTCGATAGCAGCTGATGTTAGGGCTAAGTTGGGAAATCTCCAGGATGGGTTGAGGTTTTTAGGAAAGCAGCGGTGACATCTGCTCTTCTTTGTTCCCCAGGATCATCCGAACAAAAGTCCAGCAGCCATTCCATCCGTCTCCTGATGGGTCGTCCCTGACGCCAGGCCATACTATAGGTAAGACTGTAGCACAGGCATTAGCATCATAGAACTTACTCGATGTTTTTTATTTTAAATGCAAGCTAATTTCTTGCTGTCCTTCCCACAGTACCGAGCCAAGCCTCTCCGCCTGTAACCAGCGCCTCCAACGACCCAGCGGGATCATACTCCATCAACGGGATTCTGGGTATCCCCCGATCCAACGGCGAAAAGAGGAAAAGAGATGAAGGTAAGACCTTTTTTCTGTCTAGATGAGAAAAGATATAAAATCAGTTTAGGGTTAGAATGCATCAAATATCTCGGACCCTACAAAAAAAAAAAAAAGCAACACATTTTTCTCTGTGCAGCTTTATGCTATAAAACCCACTTTGCTGAACTTGCAATTACAGCATTAAAACCTGCTTCAGTTCCATTAGATGACCTTATAAAACACCTAAGTCTGAACTCTGTTACACCGCTGTGTCAATCTGCCAAGGAGTCTTTTGATTTGAAGACACGACCTCCGCTGTTGTCTCCTACAATTAATCTTTATGGAAGTGATTAAAGGGCTTTAGATAATTACATGTCAAGATGATGTAGCCAACCACCCAGGTCAGTGAAGAAAGCTGCTGCAGCTCGGTGGAGGGCTTTTTCCCCCTCTCCCTTTAACAAAAGTGGCTCCACTTCAGCAGCTCAAGTAGTAGGTTAGTGGATATAAGGGAGCTTGAGGCGATATAGATTATTGGTTCTGTAAGCAATAGGCTTCCTTAATGTCACTACATAAGTCTGATGAGAATAGCTAAACAGATGCACTCATGTTGCAAAGCGTGTTCGGGTACGGAGGGATGATGTGGCTGCTGAAAAGGGGCAGTTATCTCAAACAGGGTGGGGAATGAGTGCCTTATTTCTGCAGTGCTCCAGAATGAGAGCTAATCAGAGCACGGCAGCAGTTTACATAGCGTCTTTCTTTGTTATGGCGTTTGTCGAGAAGCACGGGGGTTTGCGGGATATTGAGTGGAATTGATGTTTTATGTGCGTGCAGGGAGGGAGGGATGACTAATGACCTGTCAGAGGTAGATTTCCTGGCAAAGATATAAAAACCAGCATGACGTGGACATGGCAAATGACATAATCAAGTCCTTCCCTGTAAGAGATGCAATCGCGGAGGCATAATGCAAACGTCTGGTATTTTCAAGGGTTCATTCTCAGTCGTTCGAGGACCTCTCATATTAACCAGGGTGTAATGTCTAGTCCCTGAATGATAGAACGCACACATTGCTATGCAGATTGCTACTGAAGGGCAAAGAGGTATTAAAGGGCATGGAGGGGAATAATGTATGTGTGTGTGTGTGTGTGTGTGGGGAGGAGAGCCTGTTTTGTGGAGGTCTTCCAGGTGACAGCGCCATGTTTCTACGGCTATTCAGTCTCGAATGATTCCCCTGATGTGCTGCCATTTCTGTGATTTAGGTGCTCGGCCAGAATTACGATGAAAGAGAAGAAAGCTCTGCGTGTGTGTGTGTGTGTGTGTGTGTGCGTGTGCGCGATAATGTGCGTCAGGGTAGAACTTGTACTGAGGGTGACGGAGGGAGCTGTGGTTCTTATATACTCTCTCTATGGCCAGCTGCTGCCTACCTGCAACCATTGGGTCAGGGATACTTTATCTTTCCAAAACATAAACCCCAGGCCTTGGCCGCACACACACGGCTGCAGAAGCAATGTCTCGCCTGGAGCCACAGTTTGTGAGAATAGTATATTACATAGGATGTTACCCTGTAGACACTATTGTCCTGTTGCTGTTCTCTTAAAGTGCACATTGCCCCCCAAAAAGAAAAGGAAAACACCCTGAATCTGACAATGTTGCAGCAGTTAGGCTTCCTGTGAGAAAGGGTCGTAGCCGTTATTGTGTCCTATCTTGTGAGGTTTTTGCTAACATTAGTAACTTTACATTTTAGCGAACATTTATCTGGAGTGTATATAGACTGTATTATTATATTCTGGGATGTATTTATGTAAGAAAATCATTACAGATGCCACATTTTGCGATAGATTGCGTCATCTTTTTTGTTTTCTCATTCACTCACAAGGCATTAACTCATGCATTATTTCTGTAACATTTACATTTTCAGAAACAAGACATTTAGTGAAGAGTAGTCAATTATAGCGCACTTGACTATTGCTATATTATGTTTTGTGATACCGTATCAATTCTCAAAAACACTACTGCTTTACAGTTACAAACTGTTAAAACTCAAGGGTTTGACAGCGGCACAAAAAGTAAACGGACAGTGATTATTGCAAATGCATATCCCACCGTTTCGTTAATACTGTAACATTTTGCATTGTTAATAGAATGGGGATATATTTAATTATAACCCCTATATCCTGGTACAAATCATTTTTGCCAGATTCTTGCCTCGAGAAAGCCCTAAAACGTCATGAGAAATGTCTGGAAATGATCAAATGCTATAGCCATAGGCCTACTGGTTAGTGTTTTTCTCAACCAAAAAAGGTAAACGATCCAGAGAATCTACAAATAACCCTTAGCATCTAGAAAATCCTGGCACTGAAATCAAACACATAGAAGTAAAAAAGCATGTCCTTGCAGCTTTCAGGGTGTTTCGAGCATTCATTTTTGGGTTACAGCACTTTTTTTCTAGCTGAGATCTGTGCTTCAATGTTGCCTTGTTTGCTATTCAGAAGTATTTTGCTTCCCCCAGTAGGCAGTAGTCTATAGTCAGTTAATGCTTGGATTACATTTCCTCACAGCACAGTAGCTTGCCTGAGCCCTATTTAACTCGGTAAGCCTCATGATGATTGTGGCACAAGCAGTCATTATCAAGGGTTGAAAACATGAACAAAAATGAGGCGAAGGAAAAGAAGGGTAGGGGTTACGTAGGGGAGGGCTGAGTGCAACACATGCCCCGCTGAAATGGATTGGCTGTGTGGCTCTGAGTATTTGTTTTAGGCAGTAGCTGTGGCTCTCTGCCAAGCAGGCGGACAGCTTCTAAGTTTCCAAGTCAGCAGTGCCCTTAAAAAAAGGTCCCCCATTACAGGAGGGATGTAGCGATAATGTAGTGTGACACACGTTATGTACACTGGGTCTCGGCAAGAGGAGCTTCAGGGACACAGGTGTCATAAGAGCCATTAATCTGCTATTGTCACGTGTTATTGCAAATTAAAAGTAGCATGTTACACTTGGCAGCCATTGTTGCAGACGGACAGAGCGGGGGAGAGCGAGAGAGAGACCCCTGGAGATGGTGACCACGGCTGTCCGCACCTTTTACAAAGTGACATATATTAGAATTTGCAATTCTGCAGAGAAAAGCCATTACCTCGCAGATTAACATCCGAGCGTCCCAGCTCCTCCACCCCCACTGCTGCTGTAGGCTCCAGAAAAGACAAAAGGAGAAGCTGCTCCTCTCAGGGTCAAATACAGATCTGTCATACAGTATCTGATGTTTAAGTACAAATCTGCTTTCAAGCATGTTTTTGTTCACCTTTCTTGCTATTAGTGCACGTTTGAGTGCGCTGAATTGACCTGAGCAGACAGCTCTGGAGGTCTGTTGAGAACACGCAGCGTCCATGAACTGAGCGTCTTTCAAAGTCATATCACACGTTCTTTCAGGGCGACCCACACAAATTGCACAATCAGGCCTGTAGATGATTCTTAATTTCAACCATTCCGGTCGTTTTCTTGCTTTGTGTGGGGCTTTCTTTCTTGATTTATGAGCGAAATAGCGAGAGAGAAATTTTATGATAAGATGATCATCATACATTTCAAAAGGCAACAACAATAGCCAGTGGCAGTGAGAATGGATGTGATTCCGTGCTTCAGTAGCTGTTGAATTAATTATTTCTCATCTCTGAGCGTCATGAGGACTGAACCGATGTGTGTGGATGGAGATGAGTGATGGAGCGGGCCTCCGTCACACCCTGCTCTGTGTATCAGCATCTGTTATGGGGGAGAGGGAGAATCAACACAGGAACTCAGAGCGCAGCAAAATGTCAGCACCTAAGAGTGCAACCTTCAAATTAGATTAATAAATCTTTAAGAAAAAAAATTAAATCAGGACATAAAGGAAAATTGATGGTCGTAAGACATTAAACAATCTTTCCAAAATGTTCATCAGAATATTAAAAAGGATCAGACACAAGGCTGCATATGAGGAATATTTCAAATACTTTCATTTATTTTTTGGCTTATTCATTATCAGAAATACTTTTTGTTTGACCAACAGCCAAAAACCCCATCGCTTTGAATTTTAAAATGATAGTAAGTGTGAAAAAGCAGCATTTTCACACATTTAATTAGATGCATACAGAGAATACTTAGCCTTTTTTCGGTTAATCAATTATCAAACTTGTATTTGATTAATTTTCCATCGATACAATATTCAATTCATCGTCCCATCCCTTTGAAACACTCATCACAGATCTTTAGTGATGCAGAACAAACATATCAGTGTTTTAATTTATGTTTACATAATCACAGCATTCAATTAGACAAAACAAAATGCAGCTGAGTTCATCAAATTTGTTTTAATTTGATTTCATTTAGCTGTGAATTGAATCAGGCGGGAAATTATAGAGGTGTATTATTGCGAAATGCATAGCAATGCGTTAAGGGAACCAGAGTGTATGTATGTCGACATGTTGTTTAAACAAGGAGCAGACAGAGGGGGGGGGTAAGCTCATTCATCTGAGGGGGGGCTCATGACCTGAAGGTGCCAGCTCACCTCCCAGTGCCTCTAACAGGAACTTAAATAACTAATTAAATTGCGGGAAAAGTTGAAACTTTTATTCTGAAATCATAATTTTCTTCTATAAAAACGCAGGCTATTATTGAGGCTACTATTTAAACTCATCCTGCACTTCATTCATGACATGTGCTGTGTTTTTGTTTGGCGGGCAGTCACTCAGACGCACTCTCAGTCTCAGAGTTGCGTTGGCTAAAGAGTCCTGCTAGGGGTCGCGACCTCTGGGTGCCAAACCCGCAGAGAGGAGTCTGCTTTATAGAGCCGGTTATCTGATCTGATAAAAGCGGCTCCCTCGTTACCAGAGTGTTAATACAGACTGATGTCAAGATGAATACACTCAACTCCTGCGATGATCAATAAACGGCCGCAGAGCGGGACAAGCATGTAACGCACCAACAAAGCCACTGTGGTCAAAGATTAGTATCACCGCCGCATAATGGCTCATTTGGAAATGTCCAAAAGGTGGATTTGACTTCTTGTAGGGTGATTATGGACTCTTAACAGCAACTCAAAACATTTACAAATATTGCAGTTTGAAATTAATTATTTGTAATTGAATATGCATAAGTACAATTTGAAAGAAGACACTATTTTTAACCTATCAATAAGGAATTATTGCACAAAAACTACACACATCTGCTTCATTTGGTCTTTTCTTTTATTCAATTAAAAACTTTTTTATTTTTAATGGCTCATTTTTAGGGATGTTAAAAAAAATAATACTTTGTAACTTAAATTGTTATGGTTGTAACAATATCAACATGGTTAAGGTTAGGGAAAGTCGACAGTTTGAGGAAATTGTTATCACTTTGTGGCGATATAATAATTAAAATATGTTGTAATTGATCCTTATATACATTCATAAGGCACTTTAAAAAAAACAGCGGCTTCACAATTAATGATAAAAAGGTATAATAGTAGTCTTACACAGCATTTAAACATTAACAATATATAACACTTTCTTCTTTGATCCCGATTGAGTTTTAATTCCTACAAACGCTAGAGGGCTTTGTCACTTTGACGCATCTACATGGCCATTGATCTTCTTGGGAGGACGGTTTAGAAAAAAGATGCATAAACTTGATTTACTCTCCAGGAAGCTTAATTGCGCCGCTTCATAAACGCTCTAAATGTCACGAGAATCATCTTCATCACCAAAACACAGTCATTGCTGATTTGTCAGAGGGGAGTGAGTGGCTGGGAGGGCAGATGGGACTGTCCCCGGTGTGAGTGGGAGGAAGAGCATGTAGGTTGACCCAGGATGGTTTGTCTTGTGTGTGGGAAGTGTATTCCACTGTGGTGAATGACAAATATGGTGGGAGGGGTATTGATCAGGTGTTGTGTCCCGAGCCGGCTGATGGAAAGTAATTAATGACTCTATTTGCTTCGGTTGCAAAGAGAACAATTGAGTTTGATAAAGTGACAAGCAGCAGCTTAGGTGAGGGCCAGAAAACATTCTGAATATTCACCTGAATGGACCAAAGTCAGACCAGGGAAAATCCGATAGGTTGTTGTCTTCTTTCTGATGAGGCAGCTTCGTTGACCTCTTTAAAGGAACAGTTCAACCAATTGGTTTCCTCCCGAGAGTTGAATGCGTCATATGCAATAAATTAACAGAGTCAGGATTGCTTAGTTTAGCATAGAGACTAGAAAAAGGAGGGAAAGCTGAGATTTGTTTACCAACACTGACTAGCTGCTAACCTATTTCCAATCTCTATGCTAAGCTAAGCTAAACATCCCCTTAATGTCGCTTCATGCAAAAATGAGAGTGGTATTGATCTTCAAATCAAAACCTCACCAAGAAAGTAGGCTACTGCAGTGTAGGCCTTTTTCCAAAATGTCAAACTATTCTTTTGCATTGCATACGTCTAATCTAGACGACAACGTGAGATATTTAAGTGTTTAAGAAACGCCAACTTAAAGTCAGCCAAATTTGAAGTTACATGTTTTGTACTGGAGATTGACGTACTGTCATACAGTTTGGGAACTGTTATACCCCATGCATATAAAGGAGATGTACAACATTTGGGGGGGGGAAATATTGCTTGTTTCGGAAGCTAAACAACAATTCAGATAACACTATGAGGTTTAAATGATTGTTATGCACCATCTAACTTTTTGGATCCAATACCCTTAGTCACGGAATCTGCCCACACGTACAACCATTGATTTATTTTACCAATATTATAATCTATATATCTAACCTTTTTGGCTTACCCTTATCCTTATGTAAGGTATAACAAATACAGGGATTGCTGTGCCGCTAAAAACAGATTTGATCCGTATAATGACGCCGACAAAACAACAAAACCTAGCGTGGATTGGTCATATCATTGCAAAAAAACAAACTAACAACAAAATAATAGTAGATGTACTAACACTGATAACAATTCAACATGTCAGACATCACTTGTTAATAAAACCTGTATTCACCAGTGCAGTGAAAATAGAATAAATAGTTAACAAGGTACTGTTAGCAAACTCGTGATATTTATTGCTTGACATTTTCGCAGCCATCAGCACAATTTCAGGTCACACACGCTCACACCCCCTCTCACACACACTTTTATAGCTCCTGATAGTCGGGTTCATCCTCTGGCCTCAGCTGGTGAAAAAAGGTCAAGCAGCAGAATAGACTGGCAATAACCCTCCCAAATGGTACTATCACACAGACATGATTGATCAATTGAATTCCGTGGCAGAGAAAAATGTGGGATTAAGTAGAGTATTATACGCACAATGAGTTGAGGCATGATGTTCATTTCAAGTTCATTTCAGCTCCCTCTTGCCACCAGATCAGGCAATCAATAGGGGCCTTGCATATCATATATCACCACTCTCCCACTGAGGGGAGAACATAATCTGCCGCAAATTTAGAATGACAGATTTGTAAGGGAGCTGAAGCTATCTGGGATCCAGGGAGGAGACCTACAGACACTGCAGCCAGGAGAGGTGGGGGGGGGGAGGGAGAGAAAAAGGGGAGGGCGGTAGGCTAGGATGGTCTGTAAAGGCTTTAAAGCGTCGCACACAAGTGACAAGAGGAAAAGCTAAGGCATCCTTCTCCCAACAGTCGGGTAATCAGGTCAGGAGTCAGGAGAACATTCCTGTGTTTGGAGAGCGGGATGATTGAACCAGACTGTACGGTTTTATTCAGCCTCTTGTCCCCGCCGCTGTTTATAAATGGAACCACCACACTCGCAGAGAATGAAAGCAGTATTGAATTGTGAAAGGGAAATTGTGCTTTAAAAAAAAAACTGCTCTTTATTTCAGTGAGCATCAAAAGGGTTCTGGGGAGGAATCAAAGCGAGGGGGAAAAAAGACACTATCATGGGCTGGCTGCTGCTGCTTTCATTAGTATACATGCTTGCCACAACATGTATATATTTGCAAGTGATGGTAATCCATCAATTACCAGAGGGCTTTCAGATCATGGTGGTGTCACTCCCGTGGCAGGGGGTGCAGGGGAAAAACCTGTGTGATGTAGCCAGTGGCTCACTACAGCCATTAAGGAGTGGAAAAACCTGCACTCCATCCCTTTCTGTCCTCCTCAGATCCCCCACAGAGGTGGTACAGAAAATACATGAGGAGAATATAAAGTGCATAGCTTGAAGTAAAAGGCCAGCTTCCCGGGGTCAGTCTCTCGATTGTTGCTCTTTCTTCTTGTAGATGGTTCAGATGGTTCTGGCCCACACAGTGATTCTCAGGGTAGTGTGGAGAGTTTACGGAAACACCTTAGGGCAGATGCCTTCACCCAGCAGCAGCTGGAAGCGCTGGACCGGGTCTTTGAACGCCCCTCGTACCCTGACCACTTCCCTACATCGGAGCACATCAAACCCGAACAGGTTAGTAGCACTGCAACTCACCACTTCAAGTACACACACACACATTGTGCATGTGATGCTGATTCAAGCACAACAACAAAAAACCCACCTTTGTCACAAATATTCCCATACGCAGAAAGCTAATTAAACAAACGTCTGAGATGTCCAAGCATTGGATTAAAACCAAGCATGTATAATGCTGGAGGGATCACCTGGAAAACTCCCACACATTATTGATTTTGAGAGGAAAAACACATTCCTTGTATCCCCTATAATTGAGAATAACAGTAAGGCAACATGAAATTAATCAATACTGAGGTTTTTTCTCAATGTTATGCTGTGTTATTCAGCTGCTGCTTCTTGCCTTTGTTGTTTATTTTCCAACTCTGTGTCATATCTTGATGTTTAATGACTGACGCAGTCTCCAAGGCTGCTTTTATTGTTTTCATGAATGTGATGTATGAAAGCATGTATTCCCTCTCCTTCCTTCTGATATTAAAACCACACTTGCCATCCATCCTCATTTCTAAAATTAAGAGGCATTTGGGGACCAGCCACCCCCCACGCCAAAACGACAGCCAGAAACCACCGCTTATTACATGCTCTGGGCTTATTACAATGGATAACCTTTATTTACTTTCATTATACTGTTAAACAACAAGAGACTATTAATTTCTCCCACCGTACTACAAGTCGGACCCATAAAGCAAAAGCAGTCGCCTAATTGAGTTCATTTTAATTTCTCTCCAATCGGGGCGAATTACGCAGGTGATAAATCAGTGGGACAGGCCTCACCTCCAGAAGAGGGCCTAATTTGCAGCTAATTACAAAACTGATTTCTACTGGAAGATCAATACCAAAACGAATTGGAAATGACTTGCAATCACAAAGAGCGTCAGGGAGAGTATTAAAAGGCAGAGGGAAAAAGGGTTAGACCAAAAAAAGAGGGCAAGTGAGAGAGAAGAAAAAGAAAAAAGGAGGCCAGGAACAGTCGAGAAAAATCAGGTTTAATTTAATGCAATATTAATCAGAGCACTTTCCCTTTCATGGGTGCCTCACGGTTTTTTTCGTGGCCCTATTAGCTAGTGTCTGGGTTCTGTAGCGGGGCATTAAAAACCCATTCTGGAGATGCAAAACTCAATGGATTCACCCCTCCCACACTTCTGCTAGCCATTTGGTCATCCCTTTCAGACCTGTCTTTTCAGTTTTCCCCCTTCTGCCCTTTATCTGCATGATAAAACGTCTGTTTGGCGTCTGAAGCCTCAGAGAATAGAGGAAAACATCCGACATTGTGCCAGTGAACAGTTGTAGCAGACAATTAGAGTTTATCGGTGATAGTGGCAGACAAGAGCGGGGTCACGGGCGTCCCCCTGTGGGAGCGCGGCCCACTGAGCCACTCAGGCTCACACTGGGCTCTGGACAAACATTGTCAACACTTAGGCTCCGGAAGTCTCATCTCATTAAAAAAAAACTGCTAACATCTGCCACGAGTGTCTTTTAGTGGATTTACAAAAAGAAACAATGAGGGACAAGCCGACAGATTCATTTTAGATTGAGGCAAATGTGTTTCATTGCAACACAATTACAAAAAGAGACATTTGGATGTATTTGCATTCAGACATTCTACTCAGGCTATTAAAAAGCCAGGAACTTGTTTCTGGATAGTTGTCATTAAATGCCTGGTCAGATCCATAGGTTTGTTGACATTCACTTTTGAATAACTCACTATTAAGGCTTTCAGCCGAAATTGAGAAGTTCACTTTATTTGTTAAAAGGAAAGAAGGACCCGTCAAAATAAAAGAAATGTAAAAAAGTATATTTTGTAAGAATTGTTTTGGTATTCCTGTAACTTGGGTATCAAATTGGACTTTTGAATGATACGTTTTTTTCCTCTAAAATGTCAAGGTTTTGTAAACTTAAAAAATTAAGCAGCACAAACGACACGCACCAACGTTAAAGGGGGCTCAGATCAAATGTTCAGAGGCTGAGATCTAAAGCCAGACACATATTACTTGCATTGCTCGCATTACAAATACAGTGTTGTTTGTGATTTGGGTGAACTACTCCTTTATTCAACCTCTGAACGCACACAAGAGGCAAACTGCTAAATGGTCACAAAAAGTGCAAGTTTTACAAGTGATTCTATTCAGAGATAAGAGGTAATGAAATTTAAAAAAGGTGGTTTAGACTCTAAATTATAAGCAAAAAGCAGAAAAAGGTGAATAGTGTCTCTGAAACAGGGCCACATGGTGAGCCTGTAACAAAGCAGAACTGCTTTCTCCCTTGGCTGATCAGGGGAAGGACTGCAGTCAAGCACAAAGGGCCAGCTGACGCCTTGGCTTTTCACTCATCTCAAAATCCCACTTCCTCTCAGACAATACCAAAATACATTCATGATATGCTTGAACTGCCACCCTGCAGCTTGAACACACACTCACACACACACACATGCGCACACACACACACAATGCTCTCACAAATGTATACTCGCACAGGCCTGTGTGGAGTGCTTAATGGAGGAGGAGAAGGGAGGATTTCCATCTTGGTATTGTTTGGTTGTGTAATGATTCAACTGTCCTTTTCCCAGGCTAATGAGTACTCGCTCCCTGGCCTGAATTCCAGGCTGGACGAAGTCAAGCCCAGTTTATCCTCTAGCGTCAACCCAGACCTGGGCCCCAGCGTGTCGCAAAGCTACCCCGTAGGTAAGATCAAGTGCCATACAGTACGCCTTTATGCTGCCGAGCCACTGCTTCAGCTGAGGGGGTTTGAAGTATGTAAAAGAATGAGAAAAACAACTAACACTGCCTGTGCAATTGACCAAAACATGTGTGAAAATAAAAAAAAAGCAAACCAAAAAGTTAAGTGTGAATACTTTTTTAATACCATTTCACTCTGAGCTGAATAGGTGGTACGATGGTGTGATAAAAGCTGAGCAGTCTTTGCTGAGTAAGCAGGGTGATGAGAGAGATTGTGGGGTGGGGCAGTGGGGGGGCTGTTCAGTCACCGCTGGACAAGGACCTTTGGGTGTCAGCACATCAGAACTATGACTGTGTATCAGAGCAAGGTCTCGCACCAAAAAAAGAATAAAGGCCACCATGCAGGACTGACTGCTTGTTGGCTGCTGCTGTGTTGCTCCTGTGATTTGTTCGCCGTGAGACAGTTTGTGTGTCTCAAAGCACGAGTAATGTGCCTCGGTAAATACGCACTGGCATTTCTGCCGCCTAACTCTAACACCATGATCATTTATTTCGCCCTCCTCTCTCTCCCCCTCCCCCCCCCCCCTTCTCGTCGTCTCCTCTCCTTGTCACAGTTAATGACTGCCTGGCTAATTGAAATATTGTTTCGTTGTTGCCGTGTTATTACCAAGAAGAAGGTTAAGTTTACTGAAAGTTTACGATGACTGTCGGGGGCCTGAGATTAATATACAGAGCTTTTATTAAAATTCATATAATTATGCAGCAGCCATCAAAGGCGAGGAGTTCTGCGTGGGGGAGGACAGGGTGATTGCAAATTGCTTCAGCCCCCCCTTCTCAAATGATAGCCAAGCAGACTTATGAGAAGAGAAAGGACCCTTTTCTCATTAATATGTGGGAGGTAGATTTCCCTGTAAGGCAGGCCTCCTGAGAAGAAAGGTGTGTGTTTGTCCTTTGTGCGCTGATGGCCCCGTAGAATGCAGGCGGCTTTGTTTGCACCTGGGATATTTCAGATGGTCTCTGCAGAGAGGGTCTCCTTACTGCTTTACAGGTGCAAAGAGACATGTAGAGGAAGAAAGATGGGATTGTATGCATACCGGTGTGTGTGTCTGCACATGAAACACATATCACTTGCTTTTGTGTTAGTAAATACCTTTTTCTGGTGGCAGGTCTCACTGCAGGCAGAGAAATGAGGAGGTCAAACTAATGGAACAAACATCACCGCGACTTCCTCTTGTAATTAGTATTTGTTTTGTGGCTCCTCTGCTTGGTTTTCCCTCAGTGGCTTCCTGTGTGGATATTAGGATATATTCAGGTGTGTGGTCTCACTAATGGCTGAGTATTACAGTTTACTTGCCAGCGATAAGCCCACCAGAGGAATTTTAAGCCATGCAAAAAGTAGTAAATGATCTGCAGTATTTAGACCCAGATCCAATTTCAAATTAATTGTGTCTTTACGGGGGAGAGAACTGGAGATTATGTTCTTCCTTAAAATGTTTTCCAACACCAATTAAAACGCCTGCAGTTATTGATCTTGTTGATTTTATGTCCTGGAATTTGCATAATCTATTAAAAATGAATGATTCATGAAGTGCTCATTGCCAGAGATCGGGATTCTCAGTGAGCTGAAAGACTTCCGAGATAGAAATCTTTTGTGTCCTCTGCTTATCCTATTAAGGCTCAAAAGTACCTGCAAAGCACACTCAAATAAGAAAGGGATTTAGGGGCATTGTGCACATCATCGAAATTCAGAGGCAAGAAGCCACTTCCATTAAAACCGTTTTTTTCTCTCTCCCTCTCCTCCACATTAATGCTGCATTACCTGCTAAATAGTCCCTCTTACCCCATAAAAACACCAAAGGGTCCATGAATATGTGGATAGGACAATTGCATATTGTGAGGTAATTTCTATTGTTGATATGGGAAGTAATTTCTTTGATGAATTCCCTTCGAGAGATGGATTTCATCTCAAGTGCTTCTTATTCTTGTTCATTCGAACTGCTTAAAATTCAAATGGTGTGAGCCGTGGGTGAATTTATGAAAAGCAGAAGGAGGAGCTCGAAACTTTTTTGTGTATTTTCAGAAATAAATGGAGAGATGGCCTCGATACGGCCAATTGTCCACTATTTCTATAGAGAGTTTCAGTATTTCCTGAAATTAGTCGGAGCCCGCCTGTTTTCTCGATGGTGCTTCAAGCTGAAGAGCCATCTCCGAGCACTGAGCGGAGTCCCTAGAGCACTCAGTGGGAGTTTTACACATCTCCACTCAGCGACTGCATACTCAAGACTCTTTAAACATATTCCCTGCTGGGCCTGTTAATGAAGGCCTCCAAAGGCTTAAAGACCCCCGTGTCAATGACACTTCCCCTCCTCAAGCAGCTGCTCCTGTACACTCCTGTCAGGTCTCTAAACAAAACTTCACCCAGCAAATAAAACCATCCACACTTAGCATTCAATTAGGGTGAGTGAGTGCTCTCAGGGTGCTCTACACAGGAAGTACCAGGACCTGCGGTTGTCCAGTGAGCAGCGAGCAAAGATCAGAAGGCGAACCTGCCGTAAGTGACGCGTGGCCTCGTGACAAAGCGCTCGCCCGTCTTCCCATAGGGGGGAACTAAATGAATGCTTATTTCGTCTTCACAAAAGCAAACTAACCTTTGAGCACACATTTGATAATGAATGACTTTCAGCCGGTGTTCGGGGAATTAAAGCAATTTGGCTCTCCAAACATTCTTTACTTAGTTGTAATTAATTAGGGTGCTGAGATTTTTTGGCTTGTGATAAATTGCCCCGTTCTGCATATAGCCTAGAAAACTGGAGGTCAAATATTTTTGGTTGTTGTTGGAGCAAAACATGAAGGTGTCCCTGTCATGCTAAATGTAATACTCTTGCAAGCAAAAGAGTCATTCACAAATGACTTTGTTTCTGTGCCAAATAAAAAGAAGGTCGTCTTGCTTTTCGTTTTGTGTTTTAAGAAACGGGGATGACAGCAATGCAAAAAAGCACATCGTAGTTTCTCGTCACGTTACTGTGAGTTGAGATAAAACTCATCAATCTTCTCGCAGTATATTCAAGTGTTGACAAAATAGTTTGAACAGTTTGATGCTTTCAGCCACTCAGTGTAGTTCAAATAAATAAATATAGCCAGTAGTTATTTTCAAAACGCATTCAAACAATCTTAAAAATCTTATATTTCCTGGCTCACTAAAAGCAGCAATTACTGTTTTTCAGCGCTCAGCAGCAGCTCTTACGAGTCACTTCTCAAAGGAAGACAGGAATCAACAGGGTTTTCTACCAGCAAACCAAAAAACTCTTTGAATTGATTCTCGCAGGGAAAGAATAAGAGGGCACAGCCAAATAAATAGCTTGATTTGCTGGCGTTCAATCTAAGGGGACTGACAGGAAGCAGACAATATAAAGAAGCCCATCTTTTAATGAGAATCTGGACACACATCTCTGTTGAAAAAACAACAAAGGCTAGGAAGCAGCTAATGAGGCTATCATTGCTGTACAGAGAGTTCTCAGAACTGGCGCCTCACAGAAAGAGGGCTTTAAAGGGGACATAAAGCAACAGGCACAGAGCTGCTGGCAGTCACTGCCAACGCTATCCTGGAATACAACAACACTGCATTCAACAGGGACGCTGATCATTATTATTAGTCAACAGAGAAAAATAGACTGATGTTAATGGCAATAGACTCATTTTCTATTGGGCAAAACTAACCTTCAAGAAAACATTTTCCACATGTTCAATCTTTTGCTTTGGTATATTTGCACATTACTACCAAAAATGAAACAGAAAACCACTTTGTTTTATTGTTACCATTTAGAGTTAGAATTAATATTGAAGTCTTAAAGAATTGATTCTATTGATCTGATAGAAGTCACTGACCCATATAGTTCCCTAGCCCTTCACCTTAATTATGAATTTGACAAAAACTTGCAAAAGATATCATTAAAATCTGCACAAAAATGAATGGAACTAGGCATATGATAGTCTCCCTTTGAAAATGTAAAAGTTATTTGTGGTTACAACCTCAGCATTGTTCAGTTCCACCAGGGAAATAAATGTAGCAATGGTATCAGTGTCAGCCAATCGGAATCAGTATATGAAGAGGAAAACAGGTGATTGGTTCCCTATCGAAAATGATTTATTTTTGTTGGTAAAAGCAGCATTTATTGCATTTCAGTCATATTTGAAAGCGATCAAACCAGATGTTCCCTTTAAGACTGAAAGGCAGGGATCTGGTGCTCATAATGTATTTCATCTCTTTGAAGAAAGGTAATAAAGAGATAAGCGTATTTACTTGCATTAAACATAATGAAGAAAAGATTGGGTCAGTGTTTGCTGAGACAGCTAGACAATAGTTACCAATGTCTACACACACAATGGCCTCACCCCCGCTGGACCCCCCACCTACAGTACTCCCACGGCTCCCTTTGACTTATGTGCACTGGCTTGTGGCTGACTAATTCTTATTATAAATGAAATGTCCGGCATGACCTCACTCTTCTCTGTAAAGCTCTTTAACTCCGCAGCCCTCCAGTCTCGGTGCTTTAACCAAAAGTCACATCTCAGCAGGCTTCATACAAAACAGCCATCAGTGCTGAGATTTGCAAATAATAGAGAACACACTGAGCGCTTTCTTTTGACACTTGTTTTAAGTAAGCATCCAATAACAACTCTTAGATCAGGACTAAAAGATAGTTTCGGTGTAGTATTTTTAGTAATGGAAGTACTATTCAGATCATTTACTTAAGTAATTACTGCAGTGAATTGAAAAAAACATCATTACACACCCAGAATTAAAATATATGTCTGATCTGCTGAAGTTTTATGAGCAAAACGTACTTGAGTTTCAGGGACACCCATTATGCAGAATGACCCATTTAAGAGAGCATAATATTATATACAGTATATAGTAAATTATTGCATTTTTATGGTAAGTGCTTTAAGATTTAAGCAGCTTTTTTATGAAGTAGCGAGTCAGGGTGGAGCTAATTTTAACGCTTCGAATATCGTTTAGTAGTTTAAACAGTTAATAGCAGTATGTCATATTATAGCAAATCGTACAATTATTTTGTACACAATATTTAAATATGCCAGCAGATGTTGAAAAGATTAAATGGAGTAAATATTGTATAAATGTGACACAGTAGAAGTAGTAAATTAAAGTACCTAACTGTACTTTCATAAATGCACTTCATTGCCATCAATGGGATAATCTAAAATAAACAAAATACTATTACTAAAATAACTACTTAAATGACAACAGCCTTGAAAGCAAGTCATGTTGTTGTTATTTAATATTGTGTTGGTGAATGTTTTTACCAAACAAAATCAGTGAAAGCCATACAAGGCTTCTTTTGGCTCCTTTACCTCCTCCTACCCCCACTTCCTTCCTCCCCCCTCCCCCTCCCCAGGCCTGGGTCTGGTGCACCTCCAGGCTGCCACCCTGCCTCTTCACCAGATTCACCAGCCGTCCCCATATCCCAGCCCCCCCCCCCCCCCCCCCCCCCCCCCCCCCCCCTCAGGCCCCCACTGCAGCCAGTATGCCTGGCAGCCTGTAGTAGCAGGTACTTAAATACCCAGAGGGCCCATTCGCTCACCCTCAATTAAACAGATGCGTTTCTCATGATATTGCACATGTATGAATTGGATTTTTCAGTCAATATCTATATTAGCCTGTGGTTTATGCTCTCATTAGTGATGTTGATTAGCAGCAAGGGCCAGTTTTCCATATTCAGAGAGATAAATATTATTTAAGAGAGATCTATATGTTGCATAACTTGTGGATCAAAATTGATCAACATGTGGGTTTTAAGAGATGATTGGTCAAGAGGGGAGCCAAAAAATACTGTTAAAACAATAAATACAAACAACATAAATAGAGTTAAGCAACTGCCATACAATGTATTCATATTAATACATGATTTAGTAGAAATATAGAAGCAAAATCGTTGTTAAATGAAAAAGAAAACTCCCTTTAGACCGTGACTCAGCGACATGCTTGTCATGAAGAACAAGAGACATATAATAATATGTGTGTTAATATTGTGATAAAAAATGTTCCTTAAACAGTTTGTTGGTTAATGCAACAACATGGACAGTTTTCTTCCACTAGTCCCTCATTAAAGCTCCATTGGGAGATTATTTTCCCCTCGAGTCCAAGTGGCCCTCACAGCTGACAATATAACAGGGGCCTCTTCTACCCCGGCCCCTGTGCAGATTTGGGTTACGTGTCGTTTTGTCCCAACGTCCCCGTGGCCAGCGAGGACAGCCCAACCGTCACTCTCAATTACATAGCTGAATATCTGCAGCCGGACGGGTCCCGCTCCGCAGAGGGGCCAGTGTGCTCCCACTGTAGAGAAAGAGAGGCCGCCATATTTAGAAAAAAAAGTTTGAACGGAGTAATGAGGAGGGATGTTTATGTGACCAGTATTCAGCGGGCTCAAAGCAGCAGCTGTTGTTGTTGTTGTCCCGTTTTAAAGTTAGAGGGGCGGACTGATGCTTTCTGGTGTTCAGTAACGGTTTGGACAAAACTAGGTTCTTTGAAACCATCTCTTAAATGATGGGAAAATAATGTTCTTGTGCTGACTGACTTGAGGTGGTGGTGATGAGTCATGATGTGTATAGTAATATCATCATTTCCTGGTTTTAAAATGGCAGGAGCTGGTTTGCATTTTGAAATCAAACACTAATTGCAGAGCTAGACAGTAACTAAGCACATTTACTCAAGTACTGTATTCAAGTAGTAGAAGTTTGGAGGTACCTCTCCACGACATTTCAGAGGCCGCTTTTATTTGGCAGCTATTACAAAACTATATTTACTTTACTGAATCAGAATAAATATGATATTAATAATATCAATCAAATATAACAAATGTGTATAGAAGTAGCTACATATGTGTAGTTATAGGTCCATCTCTGCAAAATAATATATCTAAAATCTGAAAGGGACCAATCTCCATGCTGAGAATTTGGGATATTCACAGCAGTTATAATAATGCAGGCCTTATCTTTTCAATGCTGTATTGACCTTTCCCATTACAATACTTGAGCCAAAGTATTGAAATGCTTCTAGTCACATATTTGTAAACTTGAAAGCACTGATGAAGTGGTTTTTGTTTTGTTTTTGTTTCTCTTTGTCTCTCCAGGTCGAGATATGTCCAACACAACCCTACCTGGGTACCCCCCCCACGTTCCCCCCACGGGCCAGGGCAGCTATCCGACCTCCACGCTCGCCGGAATGGTTCCTGGTAAGTGAGAGACAACATCACATGGATTAATATTGTCATTAGGGGGGCTATTTAACAGTTGCGATATAAATTGACCTGCAGAACAAGAGGCGCACACATCCTTATATTAGCTCTATGTGTATGATTGGATTAGACGGGCTGAATAAGTGATCAGAGACCGAGGAGAGGACAGTGGTTCTCCCTTCCTTCCTGCTATTTCTCTTTCTTATTGGCTCATTATCTTCCCGTTTGTACTGGTCGTCGATAAAACGCAATACCAGCCCTCCCCAGCGTCTGCGCTCCAGAGCACATCCCCTTCCTCTCCTCTACTTAACCTGCAGTTCAGTCTCACAGCAAACAGTTAAGGGTCAAAAGGCAGAGGCATGTGAGCCCGGTAAATATTCAAATCTCTGTCTCTCGGAGGAGGTCAGGCTTGTGTTTCACTGCCAGGGATTCAGATTTGGTGCTGGGCTTCTTCAGCTCCAGCGTCACCAAGCACACATTTTCACCAAACCACAGCCGGCATTTTGCTTTGATGTGATTAAACCACTAGGATGAGGGAAACCAGTGGAGTGTGTCCGGTGTTTGCATATCATTTACCAATCACACAGCCCATCACTGGCTCTGGCTGTTACTCCTTTTCCTTCATGAAGGGCTGCGAAGACGAGTTTTGTTATCTCCTCAGCCAAGGGGGTTACATTAACTGCGCCATTTGTTTTGGTCCACTGGTAGCAGATCATCCTTAAAAAATTAAAAATTACAAAGATACATACATCTTTATACTTCATATAAATACTGATATTTTTCAGGATATCACATTTTTCTGCTACTTCAATACAACAAAGGTACATTTAGTTCAGTTTCTGATGTTCAAAGAATTAAAAACAGTTAGATTTGTACGAATGTTTTTTTTATTCCCGTTCTCTAAACATTGTTAATATATGTGTTCATGAATTAAAGTCAAAATAAATGGTGGGGACTCTTAGTATTCAAGTTTTTCTTTCTGCCCATGTTATGAAAAGCTATTTTGAAAATATAGAGACTCAACCATTTCTGTCAATTTAACACTAACCAGGAACAACAATGGAACACCCTGTGGCTGTCTGGATTTGCTTTGGGATGTTGACTCATAAAACTGTTAAATCAGTTGGTGGAAAAGCGTCAAGTCAAACATACTTTAACTTTCCATTTGTTCCTATGTGGCACAAAGCAGAAGATGAGGGCCTTAATCCTATGGCTTGTGGTTTTGTGTTACAACCCATTCATCCTATACACGACCACTAAGATTTAGTGACAGGCGCAAAACACTGTTAAAGCAAAGCCATTTCTCACCAGCTTAATATCAAATCTAGCCTTTATTATCTCGTAAAAGAAAGAAACGTGTTGAACCAGCAGCGCTCACTGACATGCTCCAAGTTAGTTTCCTCTGCAATGAAATTCTACCAAACACCACAGCTCAGACCAGAGGGGTTCGGATTGGAGATGTAAAAAATCCCTTTAAGAAAGGCTGCAGGATTTATTGCAGCATATCAAAAATGTATGCATGAAACTGTTTATTACCACTCTGTATTTATTAGACGGGTTTGGAATATAGTGGAGGAAGAAGAATGGGTAGATATCCATAAATGGGACAAGGAAAGCCGCCGTCAGTGTCACATCCTGTATTGTTCAGTGTTGCATAACTTAAGTGAAATGAAAAAGAAATAAATTACTTGCTTGACTGGTTGCACATCGATGACTATCATTTTGCCCCTCAAATTGCATCCTGTTTTGAATGACGAGAAATGACTGCAAGTGAACGGGGTAATGGTTTGATGCAATGAAATGCTAATTGATTTGTTGTTTTGTTTTGCAGGGAGTGAGTTTTCGGGGAACCCCTACAGTCACCCACAGTACACATCCTACAATGACGCCTGGCGATTCAGTAACCCAGCATTACTAAGTGAGTAGAGAAAGAGAGATACTGGACTAATTGACCCCTCCCCCAAAGAGCAATTGTCCAATTGCTGGCTAGCAACTTAGCACCGTCTAAGGAATGCATTAAACACCATTAACTGATCTGGCCTGAGCAGCTTGTTAGCATACCCTGCTAACAAGCTTGATAAATAAAGCAGCTGTGTAAGGGTAGTCCTGGATGTTATCAGAGTTGAAGCTAACGCTCTGTAACTCTTCATTAGATTTTAGATATGTCCATTTTCTCTTGCACTGCTGAAAGTTAAAACATTCTGTATATCATGTAGCTCTAAAGTGCATAATTATATTCACTATAATATTCTCATCCTTAAACAAGTCACCTGAAAACATTAAAAGCTGGCCAGTTATCAGGCATCATGAGGCTAGCATTATTGGCAACTAGCTAGTAGCAGCTAATCAAAATTGCCAGGAAAAGTTGTCATTTCAGGCTTTAAAACTGAGGGGCGTTGGCTAGAGACGGTAAAGCTTAGGAATAGCAAAAGTAACGAAGTAAGGGAGCGAGACTTAGCAAACTGTCAAATAACTACAACAATTTTGAGTTTTCTAGCATTGAAAATTCGTAAAAATGCAGCTTATTTACAATGAAAATACCGATACTGTTAATGCATTTGGTGAATGTATTTTTTGTTGTTGTTACAAATGGTTTGTTCTTCTGTTCATTTCAGGTTCCCCTTATTATTATAGTGCCGCATCCAGAGGCTCCGCCCCTCCAACTGCTGCCACTGCCTATGACCGTCACTAGTTCCCATGGGGACCAAATCAACCTGCAGGACCCATGGTGGAAGCATGGTCCACTGGACACTGAGCAACTGCGCATAAAATCTTCCCGGCTCACGATGAGAAACTAAATTTTGGGGGGGGGGGGGGGGGGGGGGGATTCCAGGCGACTTCTCTCCTCGCAGCTTTTTTTGGACACTTAAAGCCAAAAAAATACCTACAAGAAGATCATCAGAGACACTAAAATAAAATCACCCGACACACATGCTGAAAACTGTGGCTAATTGCAGGAAGAAAAAAAGAAGAAAAAAAGACTAAAAACAAAGGTCTCGGATCAATACGGAACATTCCTTTTCTTGACGGCTCTCAGCAGGGACGCGTCCAGAGCTTCAAATGTAGCAGCAGCCTTTTTCTTTCCTGTTACCATTCGTCTCCCACTCCGATTCAGATGGCAGCGCAATGAGATCAGAGGAGATCAGCAGCAGCACACGCAGGCTGTGGCAGGCTAACGTTGTTTTGATCCATCTAAGCAGTCACCGACCAAACATCCAGCATGAGTAAATCGATCCTTTTTGATGCCATGAGAAGATTAGGACATGTTCTCTGTGATACACAATCAAGATGTAAAAATGAAAATGAAGTAAATAAAGAAACATCCATTTGAAAATAGAGGGAGCCATGACAATATATCACCATGGCCCGCTATTTGCAAGATTTCAAGAAACTAGTAAATATATTCTTAAAATGATTTTTTTATTTCATTTTTATAATTCGTAAACGACTAAACTGCGGACTGCTTGGCTAGTGTGTTCCTATTTCTTATTTGTCTGGATACAAAATGTGATCAGGCAAAACATTTGTGTTTTTTGTTAATTTTGCACTATGTTGGAGCTTTGCAACACTGGAGCGTTATTATGCAGAAAAATGACGATGCATATTTGCTCTATTTCATGAAATTGGCTGTAAGTCTAATAAGTCTCAGTCTGAAAAGGCACTTCCCACGTTTTCCTGTAATTCAAGGCCCATCATGTCACTGCCTTGACGTGCACTACTATGTTCTCACCGCTTACATTTCTATTTAAGTTGATTAAGTCTTTGGCATTCAACCACAGAAAAAGGATATAACAGCCATCCCAAGTCACACCAGTGTCATTTGTCAAGTTTGATTTCATTCTGACGACTCTAATAACGTCAAAAAGCAGGGCGACGATTTCAGCTAAATGCCTTAAACATGTTCCCTCCTAACTTCATGTTTCAGGCCGAGTTACTTCTTTAAATCACGCTGGAATGATGGTTTCTTCATCTGTCAAGTGAATGTATTTGCATTTGCCAAAGACTTAGTTCTTGTTAGTGTTTATTTACAGGCCGCCTATATGCATCATGAGAGCAGTATTATTATTATTATTATGAATATTATTATTATTATTAGGGAAACCCACGTTGTTCATGAGGAAAAGTATATGTATAAATTCTATGCAGTGCAGAGATGGTCATCATATGCATATTCAGCTGTAAACCTAAAGGTAGGTGGAGTTTATTTAATTGTTATGTTATTTACAAATTGTTCATTTTCGTAGAAGGATTTTGTGTGTGTGATGTGAAGACACTTCTCTGTAAATACAGTCAGAAAAATGGTCTTTCATGTTCATGGGTATTATCACTTTCATTATGCTGGTCTCACTTGTACAATAATAAAAGTGTCTGAAATCTTTTACGCAAAAGGAGTTGCATGGTGTTTCTGACTTTCTTGTTTAATGCTCAAATGATTAGTTGATAGAATAAAGACTGATCGATAATATCAATGAAAATATACCTTATTTGTGGCTCGAATGTGGACTTGAATACAAAAACAAAACCTAAACAAAACTTTCAAACGGGCTTTAAAAGTCCTCTGTCTTAAATTGAACCCCTTCTTATGAAATGCAAAAAGCGTCTAACATACAATTATTCTGTAATGGTTCTGACAGTACACATTATATTTACTCATGTATAAGAGGGAAACAGTGTACTTTTTGTCAAACTACATTTATTTGACGGATAAAGTGACTTAGTTTAAAATCCATGGGTCATTTAATAAATATGAATCTGCTGTCCCACAGAATACAATGTCGCTGTAATAGGGTTCGCACTGACAGGTTTAACATGCTACCCAAAAAGCTTCATATATATAAAAAAAAAGAAATGATACAATGATAAAGTAGTTTTATATATTCAGTGTTTCCCCTAGGTTTACTGCTTTGGGGGGGTGCTGCCTGAGCGGGAGGGGGGGGTGAGCAGAGAGGGGGGGGGGGGGGGGGGTGAGCAGAGAGAGGAGCTGTGGATTATTGTTATTGATTAATGCATCAGTGTTTCTTAGGGTCAAAAACACTAAACTCACAACTTAAAATGAAAGCATTTAGTTTATTTAATAAAAGAGCACATGTTCAATGTGAAAAGTGACAGTAGATATAGATTAGTTGCAATTTGGTGCTATATATAATTTTTTTTAAATGTATTGAAAAAAAACACCTTGAATTTCAGGGGGGGCGCTGGGCTCCGTTGGCAGGGAGCAGCGCCCCTCCAAGACAATGGTAGAGGAAACACTGATATTGAAGCATATAACTCTTTATACAACATTTCAGATGCTTGATAGGAGAAGTAATTGGAAGTTATGGCACAAGTAATAAGAGAACAGTTCAACATAACGGTGAAAAGGAAGTGTCACAGAATATCTTCAGTGATCTTAAAAAGAAAAGGTCAAAAGAATGTATTTGATATTTGACGAATAAGGTTCCCCAGTCAAAGAAAACAGATGCCAGAAACCACAATTGACCCCGAATGATCTCACAAATGTAAACTCCCATTTAAAAAACAACTACATAGTGTGTAAGTGTGCGCCTACTGCCCATAAATGCTCAAACAATCAAATAAAAGCAGTGCAAGTGTAGCCATGTTGAATATTTGACATCCATAAAAAGGTCATGAGCCGACAAACAACTTGATGGGTAAAACAGAAGTTTAAGTAAACAATGGCAGAAGGAATTCAGGTGCCTAATGAGACTCTTTTTGGATAAATGTATTTATGTTTCAGGTTTCAGATCCCATGGTGCACAGAGGGGCTTCAGTGAGAATGCCTCTAAATGTTTTCTCCATGACTCGGATCACTGAGCAGCACATCAAGTGTTTAACCTCTCCTCGCTTTGTAAAGCTGAATTAATTTTTCTAGCAGTGTGCCTGAATTCAATTTGTGCTAAGTTGCAGGGAGAGATTTATGCATGAAATCCCTCTTAGAGCTTATTTCCCTCTTTCTTCGCTCAGTAATCCCTCCGTCGCTGCCGCCTTGTATGATTTAGTTATATCATTATTGATTTACAACAAGTGGACAGTGTCCTGATTAGCGCTGTGTGATTTGCAAAGGATTTGGGCTGCTGGAGCACACGATAACGCTGCGTGTACATTCGAAAGGATGTCAGACAGAATGGGAATACAGGGCTCGACATTAAGGACTGCCCGATGGCCCGGGGCCATCTAGTATTTAGCTCGGGCAATGAAGCCTCACCTGCTGGTTGCCCGATCGCGGATCCAGTAATGAGTGACCCGACAGTAAAACTAAACATATCTATAACTAGTTCAGGTAGTTTGAGAGGTAATTAAAATAGCTATGTGTGATGTTCTAACCTGAAGTGTGTGTTTTGTCCGCTCACCGCTGCATGTGATTATGCAGAGCTGCGTGTCGACTCGTCAGCAGCAGCTGATCTCTCTCTCCCGTCAGATTAGACTTCACTCGCGTTTATGTCCATATCAATCAGATCCAGCTAGTTCTAGCTAATGATATGACTACCTGCTTATTAAAAGACACCTAAACAATAAGTGTCGCTATGCAACTGGGTGAGGCCACAAAGTATAGCGCAGCATTATGCATTTGTTTATATGCCCACCGGAACCCCGAGGCATTACCAACAGATCAACGCACAATCAACCCATACAGGACATCTCTTTCTCCACATTACGTGTTAGACATTAGAATTGACTATTCATGTCTGTCACATACTCTTCTTGTCTGTCACATAAGTGGCGCAACTGAAGCGGTATTGGGCTAAAGGGAAATTATTTTGACCGGACATTTTGACCGAAGAGATTTAGATTTGCCGGCTAACGTGAACTCTGACTTCGCCATTTTGTGTGCTTCGCGGATGCGCTCGGCTCCTCTCGACTGCTGCTCGGTCAGCTTCCGGATGAGGAGGCATTCGTTCGACCAATTTACAGTAGATAACATTACAAACATTTTTAACAGGGGCCATAATAGTGTAAATAATGTTTGTTTTGGCAGTTATAACTGAATGTAATGTTTTCTACTTTTTTACATCTGGGAAGGCATTTGCCTTCATCAGATGGAAAGTGTCTTGACCAACAACTTAAGTATTTCTTATAGCTATGCAGGGCATGCAAGCGAGCAAACACAAACAAGAACAAACAAACAAGTGAAATGAAGAATACAATTGAAATTGTACAATACAATATTGTGGTGGTTCATCTTATAATTCAGTCTAGAGAATGCACCAGACAGCATCTAAGACCTGCACAAATCTAAATGTTCTAGGGGGAGGCCCCCCAAACCCTTCGTGCGTCATTTCGTCCGCGCGCATTTTTCAGGGCAATCTCTATTGGGCTCAGGGCCATGATCTGTAAATTAGCTTATGGCGCGTTTCCACTGCAGCGGGTAGCCCCGTTTAAGCGTCCCTAAGCGTCCTCGCTCTGGCCTCGGGCTGCCTCGCTGGCCGGCCCAGGCCGTGGCGCATTTCCATTACAGTTTAGGACCTGGGGTAGCAACGCAGTGTAGGCGGGGCGATCGGCTTTGTTTTTGTTCACATTTCGAGTTGTTCCGTCGAGCTCCCGCTGGATTTGATCATCCCCAATGAGATGTAGGAACGTCGTCACCTCCTCAGTCGACCACGGTGTGCTTTTCTTATTAGACGTAGCCATTTCTGTAGCTCATCCGTTTACAAAATGCTGTTTATAAAAATGCTGCAAGCTTGCTTCTAGATATATATGCGACGCTAGGGATGAACTCGCGCGCAATCTTGTGACGATTCTCTCTGACCAATCAGCAGTCGCGAGTGTTGACGTCACTAGTTCAGCCCTGGCCCTGGTCTGAGGGAACCACAATTTTATGAGGCCGGAAAAAGAGGGAAAAAGTACCCGCTGGCCGGTACTAGGCTATATGGAAACGCCACCAAAAACCGGCCTGGCCGCTTGAGGACGGTTAAGGACGCTTAAACGGGGCTACCCGCTGCAGTGGAAACGCGCCATTAGATGGCCCACAGGGTGATCTCCCAAAATCCTTAATGTCATGCACTGGAATATATAATACAGTTGTTGAGCTTTTCAGTTGTTGATTCAGACACTCATCTATTGGTCCGAACTCTATTTTCAAACTTGTTTTAATGGGAAAAGGCGAGTTTGATCTGCATGGATACAAAACGAAAATATGATGTTTTTTTACAGAGATATATAGTGAGTTTCCATCATTCTATCACATTCTTTCTAATTTTCAAAGACATAAAAAGAGAAAAACAAGCTCCTCTAAAACTGAGCTGAGCTGTTTTTTGGTGCACTCTCTGGGTCCACGAGGAGAGACCCCCTTTTTGCTTTGTAATTCAATTTCTCTGCCTGTTGTTTATTTCATAGCTCCCCTGTGAAGCATCAGAAGCGGATGTTCTGTCAGCCCCTAACCGTCGTATATGTTTGTCATTCACAGCCCTTGTTAAAAGGAGGAGAAGGGGGGGAAAAAGGGAGCTTGACTCTTTCCTCTCCACAGCTGAGAATTCCCAGAAGCAGAATTATTCTATTTAGATGGAAACTTCTTTGTCACTTTCCTGTCTAAATTGGCATATCTGGCTCTCTCCTCCGAAACCAATAAACTGTGAACTTGGATGTATCTGTCAATCAAGCTCAAATTGACTGCAGCATGCCAGATGACAACAGCATCCTCTGGAATATATATTTTATTTTCTTACTCCATACACACCCACACACAGGAGCGGTGGGATGATCTGATTGGCTCTAATCGGCAGCTGTCACTATCTTTGCTCATCAAAAACTCAGTTTAAATCAAATATCAACAGTAAAAGAACAAGACATAACATTGAGTGTCTCTGAATGACAAAAATGTAAGGCGTTTTTGATCTTAAAAAAGTTCAAAAGCTTAGCAGAGTATTATATGAAGACATTTTTATTTAGATGAAAAACTAGCGATTTAATTTAACGGGAGTGCTGAAATATTGATTTATTGTACATGTTATTCATGAAACAGGCTGCGAAGCTATGATTATTATTCTATTCCAAACTAAACTTGTTCTATATCAAACTGTGACATTAATGTTATTACTCCTGGCTGGATGAGCAGTAATTATCTTAATGTGAAGACTTCATTCTGTAGATTGCTCATGAGGAAGCTGAATAACTACGTCTCAAAAGTTGCACAGCAAAATAAAAGTGTACATATGGATCGATTTATCATCCGTTCAATACTGTTCATCATTAAATAAAGAGAAATCGGGGACATGCTGGAGCTCCACATGTGGTAGGAGCTGTGTTCAAATATAGTTCTGACAATACTAAGAAAGTGCTCGTTTGTCCGGTAACACAGTAAAACGGTGAAGCTCATCATGCATCACTTCAAACCACAGTGTCGGAGCTAACTGTTGACCTTTGGATCCGCTCCGCACTAATACATGCTGAC